CTACATTGTATGTTGTGGAGCTTGCATTCAAGCATTTTGATTATGTTATTTCTCAAAGACGAACTCGTCAAGGTTGGTTCAATGTCCAGAGCTTACTTCTGCTACTATAAAACATTCGGTAGGACGTTCCGTTACCATGTGCACACAAAAGTTATATCAGCCTACTCTTCTTATCTATCTAGTTGTCAAGTCATGAGTCAGTGATGCGGTTCGGGTAATGATAGCTGAAGTATGCCACATGAATAAACAGACTGGTTGTAAGTCCAATGCCATATATCATAGACCACTCAGACGAAAAGTATTTACCTCATCGTCCTCAAAATCGGTACACAATGAAAACCCAGTATTTTATAAACAGCGCGGATGTTTAGGTTTTATAGAAGAATGTATTGTTATTTCAGATAACAATCCCAGAAATCTAGAGAGGATTCTTACATGAATTGGACCATATTTTTGGAGAAAAACGAACTTCTTTTTTAGATAGCTGTCTCCACTCTATTGCGCATGCAATGGTGCAAATTACGTAACAGTCGTTTTCTGTTGAGAAGGCTGCTTTGGCTGTAGATCGCAACTTTAAAACACCAAGTACTCGGTTTAGAGGGGAAATACTGGATTCTGATACGTCATTATGGGCAGTACTCACTAAACTGATGATATTTTGGTAATAAGTGGGGTCAAACTATGCTGATAAGCCAGACAGCCCTTACAGTTGTTTCGTTCCTATTGGGGGTCACAAGATGTACGCACCTTAGGAAATCCCCGGAGTTTTCAAGCCCATGACCTCCCAGACAGTAGTTTGAGCATCTAACAATCTGCAATTCACTCGGAGTTGCAGAATGGAACGGCTGTACAATGCTCCTTGACCTTTTAGCATAGGCCAGATTCACTTACAGGACGAAATCTCACATATGTATTCGCTAGGTTGCAAGTTAGAACTTGAATAATGCGTTTCATTCGGAAATAGACATTTGAACCTTTGGCCACTTCTCTGTTTTATTTTCCACCATTTAAACGTCGAATCAATGTAAAATTTCCTGAAATAGATTCTCAGGGACTTCTAGAGGCCAGAAATTTAGAAACGATTTAGGGTATCCTTTCAAAAGAGACCTGTGAATAAAGGCCACTCACCAAGAGAATCAACAACGATAACTAGACGCAAGATTTGTACCAGATTTCCAAAAGATGAAGGGGAAAACCGTACCCTTCTAGAAAAAACAGTTTTGGTCCCTGAAAAAGCATTTTACCCTTAAAGCAAGCCCACACTCCCAATGAACTACTAGAAGATGCGAAGAAATGCTGTATGTTCCAAAGGTCGGCTAGCAACTTTGAACACTACAAGCTAACATTCTTAGGGTTAATTGACTGCTCAATACTAGTTAGAAGGCCGTCAATATAATTTACAGAGCTTACCCAGCACAAACCCAGCAAACTTCAGCTGGGCATTTTGTTTAAGAGACGGGAACATGTATGCCAGTCGAATCAGTTACATGCCATGTCCTGTAATGTTTCCAGTCATGTGCAAACAAAATCGCCTACACTTCAGTCAGGGTCGTTTCGAAATCCCCTACCTTTAGTCGCTTCCAATTCTTAATGCCATTTCTGTGACTGTTCTTGGAGAGATTTTCGCTGGTAAAGTTTTAGAATAGAAGACAAAGCTTCAAAATACATCCTAAGCTGATTGGATTTTTGATTGCAGATCGGGCGGCTGTTGATTGACGAACATTTGACTTACGCAAGCTCTCAGTATTGTGATATACTGCCTAATGAGCTTTATCCGCTACTTTAGCGACCACCGTGTGTCACTGAGTACTGACTAGCGCATCATTTCTTTGCAGACATTGGAAATTCTAGTACGCCAAAAAGACGCTGAAGACCACACATATTTGAAGATAGAGTACAAGTAAGTTATCGTTAAAATGGAATTGTCTTTCAGAGTACCAGTTTTTCTGTACTCTGCCAACCTTGTGAGAGGACAAAACTTAAGCAGATGGGTAGAGGCTGTTGCAAAATATCTGCAGTGTGATATTCGAAGTATCTCAACATGACATGGAAGTATGCGTGACACGCACTATCTTTACTTCAAGGGAAAGCCTCACTCGAACACAGCCGCAGCCCTCGGCCTTTAAAGATTTTTCAGCCAAACGGTATACTGTTGTTCAGTCGCGCACATGTTCTACGATAATTCACCGAGCCAGGGCGTCTAAAAGCCAGCTTTTCTGTGGTGATATCTCTTTGGGGATCAGTTAACTTACGCAACCACCCTCGTTTCGTGGCCTTGTTTTAAGACAAAGACAAACTTCAGAGAGATGCACTCACCGTTGTACAAACATGAATGCAGTACCTACATGAAAATTAAATGACAACACTTCTTGGGTGAAAGCAACGTGCAGTAAAAAGCAAAATACTTCAGGAAGAAGAACAAGTTCCACAGCCTCACGGAAAGTCACAACATCGGTTTTCTGACAAAAATATTCAAAGAGGAGGCTCTTTCTGTAAAAAAGTTTGGATTCCTATCAGTACACATTTTTAGCAAAACACAGGTTATATGATTATGTGATACAAAATCGCGCTCCTTCGCCAAGCAAACTAGACGGGGTGTTTGGCCCCGGCTACTATTGTGAGGTCACCTTGATGCAATTCACAGAAGTCTCATGGAATGAGATACTTCTAGATTATTAACTCCCAAATAAGGATATTACAAACGTCAAATGTGGATTCTATTCGTTAAATTGACTCCGACTGAGCGGTCAGTCCGAAGCACTATGGGTAAACCATAAGGGCTGAGATAATAGAGCTACAAAAGTTCGAACGCGGTGTCAGCAAACATATATGCTACCCCTCACCAACTCTTACCGTCCCTACTCTAAGGACGGAGTGGAGACATCCACCTATTCAGAAAGAATACCGTATATTCGTTCAGGCGCGTTGATGAATGACACTCTGTATCACGCCATACGTCACCGCTGATCTATAGGTCTGTGTGTAAAATAGAGTAAAATGTACCTAGCGTAAGGCGACCTGGAAAATGTGGATGCATTTAATAAACAGGGCTTGCGGAATTACGTTCACGAGATCATTTACGACGAACTCTGCATCGTGAATTCGATGCTCTTGAGCGTACAACAGACAGTCCATTCAAGCATGTGTATTGTTTGCATGAGCGTCATTAATACCATGTTTTCATGGATTCGTGTTTTCATGTAAATGTCGAAGAATCCCCTAATTATAAACTTCAACTTCAACCTTGAAATAGCCTCACTGTAGCGTGGCTAGCAAGGCTAGGATGCATGTTTTTTTTAATTATAATTGGATTCATCATGCTATAGGCTATCGGCAAAAATGAGGTAACACACTGGGCAAACTCCACTTTCGGCCACCCAAGGTTTGCTAAACATCTCATATATATATATATATATATATATATATAT